CCCCCCCAACACAACTCACAGTGAAGACAGAAGTTTCTAACCCAGTCCCAATCTTATTGCACTGACTCTGTGTCTCTGTCTTTGGGATTACAAAATCCAGAATTCCTTTGCAATTTGTAAATCATTAGTTTGGAGAAATCTTGATTAGAGTACTACATCTTTGAAATTTCCCCACATACTATTCAATTCAGTCTTTTCATAATCAGGAAAATGCCCAAAATTCCTTGTTTCATTTTCATGTTCTCCTTCAAGAGCTAAATGTATAACTCTGAATTCCTTGCTTCCCAATTGTTTCTTTCTGGCCCTCTAAGTGACATTCCTCTTCCATAGATGGGAAGAAATTCTGCAGTTCTGGATAGTTGCCTACTTTCTGATGTAACCCTCAAGCATTTTCTTTCCTCTGAACCTAAGAAGGAATACCTTCAGCCAGAATAATCCCTTTCATTGTCTTCCCCTCCCCTCATCTGCTCCTCTCCGTCCATCCCCAACAAAACATTTCCTTTGTAAACTCTGGAGTCATAATCCACTGATATGTGTCCTTTTTAAACTCCAGGGCTGGGATAAGGGGTGATTAAACAGGAGGAGATGGGGAAGTAGAACGTAGCCCTGAGGTAAATGTCAAGGCCTGGGTGGGGAAAAAGGGAAGAGAAGGAGGAGAAATCATGTAACTAAAATGAAAAGGGAAGTGACAATCTAGTATAAGATAATTAATGCCGACATCACACAGAATGAACATTTCCAATGTTTGAGGGCAAACTGATAGTAAGCTCTAGTTTTCAATAAAGAACGCTCCTTTGCAAGTTTTGCTCTAAAAAGGACACGGAGGGTAACTTTTCAGAAATTAGCTGATATAGTCAGAAAAATCAAGGTAGTAACTATGATTATGAGATTGAAGTTCCTGTCTGAGACGCATCTTCAAAATAGAACTTCAGTCACACTATAGTGGTCACCTTCTTGAGGGAACCTTGAATAATAGTTTATTATTGCTGAAAAGAATGAGGTTGTATGAACAATAATACTCCCTGCAGGACTATTTTTCTTTTTTTAAAGGTTTGAAGAATCTATGTCATGCTCCAGTATACAGGAAATACATCAAGTGTCTCTGTTTATTTTGGTTGTGATTGTTACTGTCCTGACGCAATACGACTGGCTGGATTTCTTATATATTTCTTTTTGAAACAGGAAAACATTTACTCTAGAAAAGTGAGGTTTTGATGTCTATGGCTTTTCACACAGTTAAAGTTTCAGGCCCTTCTAAGCACCAAGAGCCATGGTGGCGCAGTGGTTAGAATGCTGTACCGCAGGTTAATTCACAGCTCACTCCAGGAGTCTGATTCTGAATGGCTCAAGGTTGACTCAGCCTTCCATCCGATAAAAGGTCAATAAAAGGAGGAACCAGGTTGTTGGGAGAAATATGCTGACTATGTAAATTGCTTAAAGAGGGCTGTAAAGCACTGTGAAGCACTATATAAGTCTAAGTGTTATTGCCAGTGGTATTACTATATCTAAACTGGGAAACAGAACCATTCTTTAAGTGCAGCGATTCTGAAGATCTTTGTCGATTGGTCTCTGACTTTTCATTGTATTGGATCTACCTTTATCAGGGCTACAAACACCCAGATGATGCCAACAGCAGCAAATGTACAGAGAAACTCGTTGAGACCATGTATTGATGACATGAGTTTGCAGCCCAGATCTGGCCTAAATTGCATGCTTGTATTGTATATTTAATTTATCAATTAAATATACATACATACATACATACATACATACATATATACATACATATTTGTTTTCTTAAGTTTTCGTGGGTACTTACATGTATGGTATTCAGCTTTGCTCGGGTATTTTCCCACGTCATTGTAGTTGTGCTTTTAAAGTTGTAGCAACGTTTCGGCAGAATCTCATCTGCCATCATCAGGCTTCTGTATTGTGGCAGATGAGATTCTGCCGAAACATTGCTACAACTTTAAAAGCACAGCTACAATGACGTGGGAAAATACCCGAGCAAAGCTGAATACCACACACACACACACACACACACACACACACATACAAACACACACACACACACACAGATATTTTGCTACCACACATTAATCAACAATCTAACAGTGCTGTACATCTCCAGCTTTACTTTTGTAACTGATTTATTAATGAGCCTTCATTCTCTTTTTGGCATCATTTAAAACCACAAGAGCAAGAAATGTCTAAAAAGCTAAGTTGTCTCAAATCAGATATAAAGCAATAGTTTAAAACAACAGTGGTTTAAATAGTCTTTGGATTTGAAATATGTGAAACTCAAACAACAGCCACTCCCTAAAATTGATTACTGTCCAGTGGTGGGATTCAAATTTTTTACTACTGGTGCTGTGGGGGTGGCTTGGTGGGCGTGGCAGGGGAAGGATACTGTAAAACCTCCAGTCAGAGGGAGTATTTGCCGGTTCTCCAAACTACTCAAAATTTCCACTACCGGTTCTCCAGAACTGGTCAGAACCTGCTGAATACCACCCCTCATCTTTGTACAAGGAACAGGCCCCAGCCCTTATTCTTTTAGGACCATCGAACTTCTCTTGGCAGGTTTTTACGTCACGCTGATTGTGAACCGTTGGTGGGCCCAATACACCAGCATTCCCCTGCCAGATCAGTTGATGTGCGTCATTTCCAGCAATGTTCATGGGAGAGATGACAAGGGTCGTATTTTGCGGCGCACACTCATTCGTTATGCCAACCTGTCTTCTGTCCTGATCCTGCGTTCAGTCAGCACCAGAGTGCTTAAGAGATTCCCTACTATGGACCACATTGTGGAAGCTGGTGAGCCTGACTGGGAAGGAAAGTTATAAGGCCGAGGGAGTGAAAGTGGATGCAGAGAAGCTTCTCACTTTGGGCTATTGCCCGGGTGTGGGGTGGGGGGAGAGGAGAAAATAGAAAACCACTCCTTGCATTGACTCATCTACTCAATGGCAGTCTTCTTCATTATGGTGCTCTCAAGAACAGTAGGACTATAAGTGGTATTTAGAGGGCACAAAGTCAGGGACAACTTTTTTTTTAATGCTTAATCTTTTTTTTATTGCATTTCTATAAAACTATCTGGATGTAAAGTTTTCTTCAGGGACATCACTAAAACTGCTTTTGCTAATAGCTAATTCAGGAACTCAGAATAATCCCTGCTTAGGCTGCCTAGAATGCATCATGTTCTAAGCCAATTTCCCCAATTTGTTGGCCTACAATTTTAGTGCTCAAAGTTCCCCAGGCAGGTTGGGAAAAAAACACTGTATTTTAATCTTTCAAGCGAGTGGTTTTTGAGAAATTGGAGTGACAGAGCAAGAAACTGAGAAGGGGCCTATGCATTTTTTCAGTTTAAACTTCCTCAGTCCATAGTATCTTCCCTGCCAAATGTCTGTTCTACTTTAAAAAAAAAAATTATAATCCCACCTTTGTTATGTTTATAAATTCAAGGCAGTGAGCACACCTAATATTCCTCCGTCCTAAAACACGACAAATATTACTGTAGTAATGTGACTAAGTCCGTAGTTTGAACCTGCTTCCAAGCCAATTTCTCCAACTTTCCCATACACCTTCCCCCCCCCCCCACACCTTACAGGTTTTATGACACAGGATGAACGTAAGAAATACGAGAGTCTCCATTCAGACTTCAACAAGTACTGGATCCCCTGTGTGTGGTTCACCAATCTAGCTGCTCAGGCACGACGAGAAGGGAGAGTCCGCGATGATGTGGCACTCAGATTGCTCATGGATGTAAGTTCAAGGAACAATGGAGGAGGGTATAAGTACCCAAGTTTAAACTATTCCAGTTCTTGTTTTGCATCATATGTCAGGGTTATTTTTGGCATTCTTGGAATATTCTTGCCTTCTTGAGGCTCAATATTTCGGAAAAAAACTATTAATCTATATAAAGAATATTGTAATTTATATAAAAGTGACTTGTTTGTTCCCTCCTACATTTATGTTTTTAGCTTCACACATCCCATCTATGCTGCAACACCCCAATCCCATGAATTGGCTGAACAGGCTTATCTATCTTCTTATCTATAAGCCTAACAGAAAGTTACACTTCAATTTAAAGGAAGCCTCAAATTGCACTTAGTTAAAAGCTGGATACTGCCTTACAGGAGCAAACTGTTTAAAAAAGCTGCAAATTCTGAAGCTTCTGGTTTTTTTCCACGCAGGAGCTGAACCTCTACCGTGCTAAATGCAGCATGCTTTTTCACTTTGACTGGATCAGTATCCCCCTAGTGTACACACAGGTCAGTGCAACAGAAAACATATAAACATAGCTTGTGTCTGCTGCTACAGCTACCGAAGGAAACTGAAAAAAAATAAAAGATCTAGAGCCACAGTGAAGTATCTGAAATATTTCACTGTTTATAAATGGGTGATGAATGTGTGTGAAATAAAGGTTCTAAGAAACTCATTTAAGTGGGGAAATGGATTGTTAAAAAAATTGCTGAGCCCAGTGATGATGTCTAATACCAGACACGAATGCCATCTTCTCCACAGGTGGTCACTATAGCAGTCTACTCTTTCTTTGCATTTTGTGTGGTTGGTCGTCAGTTCCTGGATCCAGCTCATGGTGGAGAACTAGACATGTATGTTCCCTTGCCCACACTCCTACAGTTCTTCTTTTATGCTGGGTGGCTGAAGGTGAGAATGTTGGCTTCTAGCAAATAGCTTGATGTTTTTTTCATAATACAGTAATAATTTAATAAAAATAAATAGCTCAAAGCATTCCTGCCATATGACCTGTCCTACAGTCAATTTGGTATAGTAAAATTCTTAAATAGATTGTGCAAACTTTCACTTTTGAGCTTCTGGTTAGTTTCATACCAGTTTGTTCCACAAATGATGTCACTATACTTAAAATATAGTGACAGCCAGGGATGGGATGCTACTGGTTTGGACCAGTTCTATAGAACCGGTAGCTCCAAAGAGCAGCCGACACCGAACCAGTTTGCTGCAACGATCATTTGGTCGTCTGTTTGGCCCACCCAACCACCCGGGCTCTGGGCTGTCCTTTATTCTCTACATTTTCCTCCTCAGCTGCTTTGTGCAGCACAGCTGAGTGCCGCTTGTCAGCTGGAACAGGGGAATGCTTGCCGGACCCAGAAATTTGTAGGTAGTGTGCACGCACGTGAAGCAAACCGGTTGTTATGCCGGTAGGATCCCACCCCTGGTGACACCTTTTGTGGAATAACCTTGTATGAAACCAACCAGAAGTTCAAAATACTGTCAAGATATTGAATGAAGCCTATCTTGCATCTTTCCCCAGTGAACGTTTGCTGAATCTATCAACTATCCTTTCCTCTTCAGGCAACAAGATGTGGCTGGTGAAGCTCAGCTTTTTAATGTTTTTTAAGTTGCATCACAATCTATACAATGTTCATTTATTTCTCTTTAACAGAATGCCTTTGGACGGTTAAGGTAGTGTCATGTTCTCGCCACATAACCAACCTTTATGTATAGCTACAGAGTACGATTTACAAACATGGTGTTTATTTTAAGCAGATTCAAAGCTATCTTCAAAATATTGAATAAATGTTCCCTCCCATACAGGTGGCTGAACAAATAATTAATCCCTTTGGAGAGGATGATGATGATTTTGAAACTAATAAACTGATAGACAGAAACCTTCAGGTGAGTCTTATATGAATGCTTAAAATAGGAAATACACTACTTAAGACGAGGCACAAAATATACCTGGTCTAGAAACTGGTGCACCAGGATGTTAACTATTGCTAGCGATTTAAAATATCCTAATGGCAGCCACAAGAGCATGACATTAATCTGGGAAATCCCAACCTTTCTCAACCTGATGCTGTCATACATATTTAATTTCAGACCATATGGGAAAATTGCACTGAAAGCCTATCACAAGAGGAACTTCCAACAGTCCCAACATCTGCTTTTCATTTTTTTCTAATTCTGTGAAAGCAGACATTAAAAGGGACAATTATGCAAACCAAAGATTTGAATCTAACTTTAAAGCACTGTAATCAACAGACATGTAGGGCTCCACCAGCTACTCCTCAAAAACAGAACAGTTCTTTGTTTTGGCTAGGTATCGTTGCTTTCAGTGGATGACATGTACCAGAACTTGCCTCCAACCATGAAGGACAAATATTGGAATGAATCTACAGCTCAACCACCCTACACAACAGCCACAATGGCAGAGACCTTGAAACCTTCCTTCATGGGCTCCACATTTGATATGCGGTAAGTTCAATTGCCAAATACATTTGTCAGACAGCTATCTATTGAGGCTAGCAAATATGACAACTGCCTGGTAGAACCAGAATAACTCTGGTTTTGTGAACTTCCTTGTCCAAATCAATAAGATAAGTTGATAGACATAATCTATCCTGTAACATATTAATATTCATGCTGTCATAAAAAGTATGGAGCATGTCTCTATGCAAGATAATTTATTCCTTCCCATTCACATCCTGGAAAGTTTCTAATTTTCTAAAGAACTGCACATTGGCAGTTTGGGGGGCAAATAAATTGAAATAAATTCTAAGGAAATTGAAGAGGAATAAACAGCATGATTGACATTCATGAAAGCATCAACAAGCACCAATAATAGGGCAATTTATTGATAGTAGTTGGAAACCAAATGGATGCAAACATGCTCCTCTTAGAATATTCAAATGGAATCTGGTAACTTTTTCCAACTAATAGATGTTATTAAAAGACATAAGCTTCCTTGACCTGCAGCTTGCTTTAACCGCTTTCTGCATCAGACTGAATTTTAACCAGGCTAGCATAGCTCTCCTACAATCCCATATATCCACCATCTTCCTTCCAGGATATCATTGAATTCTCGCTTTCATAAGCTATAACCACAATGTCCATGAAGTATGGGATGGGAATTATAACCCAAGAGCAGCTTGTGTATCACTCATGGGAGATGGTTTGCTTAGGGATCAGGAACTTGTTTAAAGTCATGTATGAAGGGGAAAAAGTCCATAATACTATTTGATTCAGGCTGCTTATTTAAGGTAGTCATTATACAATAAAATCAAATACAGGTAGTTGACTTACAACTGTTCATTTAATGACCAAGGCTACAATGGCACTGAAAAAAATGACTTATGATCGTTTTTCACACTAATAACCTTTGTATCATCCCTATGATCAGGTAATCAAAATTCAATGTGGTTGGCAACTGACTCATACTTATGACTGTTACGGTGTTTCAAGGTCACGTGATCACCTTTTGCAACGCTTTGGCAAGCAAAATGAAGGGGGAAGCCCGATTCACTCTACAAACATGTTACTAATTTATCAACTATGTTGATTCACTTAATAGTGGCAACAAAGGTTGTAAAATGGGGCAACACCTGTTCCTGCAAATAAAAACAAATTCTACATTAAAGCAAATTTTACATTTACTCAAAGGGCACTAAGAACACACCAAATGTGAAATTTGACACCTCCCGCAGGTGGCAATGCATATAGCACAGGTATTCTGCTATACTCAACAAGATTCACTCCAAGAAGCAATTATGACTGGAATACTCTATTGGAGTATGCCACAACATAGGTGTTCTACTATACACCTGTCCTTCCTTAGTTCTCAAAGCACCTCCTTTAGTACACTAAAGGAATTACTAGCTGGGGTCCATAAATTTCTATCAGTATACTTAATTCAATTAATTTGTACTTAGACCAGTAAAACATGGTCGATTTATTGCTTCGCATGTTATATATACCAAGCCACTATCCCCTGCAACTGGTCAGTTGGAACGGAATCATGAATTATCCCAATTTTTCATTTCACTCAGTTGTGCCTGTACTGTCTTTCCTCCTTTGTGTAGGATGAGTGATGACCCGGAGCAGAATCAGCAGGTCGATGCCTCACCCAGCATGAACCGCATACAGACACCCTTGCTTAACCGCTTTTATGCTGCTGCTGCCTCTCCAGCAATTAGCCTCAAAAATTTTGGGAAGGGCAACCGGATTTCCCACCCTCAGTTGCTGCGTTTGAGATCTGAGGGTATCTTTCCTTCTGCCAGCCCCAACTTCAATCGCAGAGACGATCCAGAGGCTGTTGGCCGTATCGATGAGGAAGAGACAGAGGATGAGGAAACTGGAATGAGTGAAACCAGTACTCCTCACAATGCAGAAATAGAGAGAAAAGATATACCCATTATTACTGTGGTAGGATCCCTAGATGACAGCATCAGCAGCATTGAGCAGCCATCCAGCTAAGATTAATAAATAACCCAAGATTTCTGGCTGCACTTGTTTGATCAGCTATGGCAGGGGTGTCAAACTCAAGGCCCACGGGCTGGATCCAGCCTGTGGGGTTGCCCTGGAAAGTGAAGGACTGGCCTGCAGTGCCTCTGCCAGAGAAAACGGCAGAGGCACCACAGTTTTCACTGGCAGAGCGCATGGGCCACTACAGATGTCCCTGACACAAGTGATGTTGAGCTGGCCACTCCTTTATGGTAAACACACTGCCAATTCATTTGGTCATAGACTGCTTTTCACTCAAAATTAACCTGAGAACTTGAGTTCTTTGTGCCTTCTGCATTTAAGCCTTCTGGGTTCTTTGTGCCAGATGTATTTACAGAGATGTATTTACTTTCAATAACCTAACCAATTTTGTTTACCTTATGATTAATAAATCTTCTAAATATATATGTTCTGAAACTTTTTATTATATAGGTATCTGAATAATAATAAAATCCAGATAAGCCAATATTCAAGTAGGAAGATATTTTGTTAATATTTCTTCTTTCATTGGAATCCATGCGATTTCAAAATTCAACAGCATAATCTTGTTTATTCAGACATAAATCACTCTTAAGTGAAACTGATTCCTCAATAACACTTTTAAGATTGTGACTTGAGAAAAATGAGGGCACTGAAAAATAGTAATCTGCACACTAAATATAAAAGTTCTCTCAATGAAGGAAGCAACATTTAGTTATTTAGTATATTTCAGTTGCAATTTAGCTTACACATTTGTCCGGCTTTCTATCAACATATACTTCAGAAATTGTAGTTATATAATTTCACATAAGGTACAAGCATTTCTGAAAATCTAACTCATCGTGCTGCCATTTTCAACTGGAGAATGGCAGCAACAACAGGTTCTCTCCCAAATAAAAATGCAACAAGTTTAGAAAACTAAGTAGCTTTTGAAAAGATCAGTGAGAAAAATCTCAATTATACAGCTTTTCTTGGGGCTGCAGTTAAGTCATAGCTTGGCCTACAAGGAAACATTGTCGTCAGACTGAAGCAAGCCCAGACTTTCTTCCCAACACGAGCTCTACAGGCCACAATATTAGTAAATTCCATTCCAGCACTTACCACTGATATACTACTTTGTCCCAATGCCCATAAATAACCACATTAATCATTTATAACAAGACTCTGAGATATTTATTAAGCCTGTTAGATACAATAAATGTATTCATTTGCCTTTCCTGGCCTTGATTTTCCTCAGATAGAATTCTAGTTCCTTGCCTTCCAGAATGTAGCCATCTGCTCGGCCACATTGTCCAGGTCTGGAGGCAATGCAAGCTGAAAATACAAAATTAAAGGAAAATGTGTCAATTAAGACTAACGAACACACTTCTTTAAATGCAAAACTTTTCTTACTTTAACTCCATATTAACACAACTATGCTCATCTTCTCACAAAGTGTGGGCCTTTAAAAATTTAACGGCCTTCCCAGTTGCCTTCAGAACTTGAAATGTCACCACTCGCATTCAGCAGCAGAACTGGACAAAGTTTTCATCACAAGGTCAACTTCAAATCCCTGGTCAATTATGCAGAATAACATGGTAATCACCTAACACTTGAACTTCTGGTTCTAACTTGTATAAAGTAGCAAGAACTAGGAAAAGGCTCTAACAATTGTCAAGCTAAATATTATACCAAGAGTTGAAACAAGTACATCCTGCCCTAGAATAAAGCTGTGACGTTTGTCAACCCTGAGTATAGACTGCCATCATCTCATAAGTTATCAAAATAGTACATCTGCTTAAATCTTCTGCTGTGTCTAGCAAGCTCAGTTTTCTGGGTTTTTTTACATCTTACCAAGTAGCTTTCCTTGTTGGAATTGCTCCTCCAGGAGGCTACTGATCTTGGCATTCTTTTTCCGCTCGTCATACTTCTTTTGGATTTTCTTTGAACGTTTTTTATTTAAAATTTCTTCCTCCTCAGGGGTCTGAAGCAAAAGCAGAAGGTTGTTATTTCCCATAATTTCACAAATATCTGAAACATTCAGTACATTTTGGGGTTGTAAAACATTGTGCAAATTGGTGTAAACTGTTCTGCACATAAAAACTTGTCCCATGCCTAGACCAAAACATGCTGTGTGTGTATGTGGGAGGGAAAAGAAGCCACTGGGAAGACTAAAGTGGGAGAGGCCATCTTATCTGGTTGGACATACTGCAAAGTCAGATTAGCTTTGGTCACTGCCAATTTCCACAGCTTCAACAGCAGTTTATTCAACCAGCCTATCACTCCCATTTTCCAAACATCATTCCCCGCCCCACTCTACTTCCCCATATCCACCAATGTCCACTTCCTTGTAGTCAGAAAGAATTGGAAATACAAAAGCGCCAATTAAAAGTGCAGTGTGTAAACAAACTGATAGTGGCAGTCAAGGGAAGGCACTAGGAATTTACAAACAATAAATGTACACACACAGGCCAACTTAGAAGAGCTATAGATGTGAGGTGCGCAGGTCTTATCCTGCTCATCCTGTTAAACTTCTCCAGATTTTGTTTTAGCAAATACCCAGGACAATAAAAATGCTTTGGGTTTTGCCAAATTTCAGCCTATCCAAGGTGGTTTGGTAGAATTACTGAAGCAAACGATTTGAGTATTGTGCATTCTTCTAATACAATCTTACACAGCATGACCGGTGTGCTGAACTCTTTGCTACTTTAAAACAATTTCCAAATAAATTGAGATTTGAGCACTGATGGGATAACAGTCTATAAGCATTTTTCAACTTGGAGCCCACAAACAGTAATTTATAGAATCCTTTTATTCAAAACATTTGCCTGCATACTTCAGCACTAAGATGCTCTAAATTGGAAAGGGACCCTACACAGCTTGGTCTCATGTCTCCTTCAGATAAGTAGATATGCCATCATTCTCTTTCAGCAGCAGAACTGGTTAATAGTATCATCATCAGAAGACAAATGTATTTTTAAACCTCTGCATACTATGTTACCTACCAGCTTGGCACCCTTTTTGCGCCCAAGGGGCAAGGCATAGTGGGCTTCATACCAGTGTCGGTATGGTGTGCTGTCAATGAGGACAATGCAGTTTTTGACCAGGGTCTTTGTGCGCACCAACTCATTATTGGATGCATTGTAGACTACATCAATTATTCTGGTTTTGCGGGTACAGCCTGTAAAAAAAGGAATTTATCTTTCAAGAATTAAAAAAAAAAAATCTGAATGCTATAAGAATCTTGTGAGTACATAAAAATAGGCCTTCACACACTGCAGGATCTGTATACATTCTATTTTATAAATGTAGCCAATTTTGACTATTTCCAAAATCAACCCATTTGAAAGAATAAAGAAGAGAATTTAAAGAAGAGAATGTACAAACTATAAAGTATGTGACTCCGCAAACTAGGATGACTGGAAAATATGAATGTATTTGCAAAGAGCACGCTAACCCTGCGACACAAGCGTGCCTCCTTTACACATACGTGCAGCATCGCTTATGATGCTAAAAGGGTCGAGCTTGTATCACAATAGTGATTCCCTGTGAATATTTCTGCAAAATATCATAATTAGTCCTCTGATTAGAAAATACAAAAATAGACTTGTTTATCTTGTTACTTTCAGCAGCTCCAATAAAGTCCTCATAACATAGCTCAATAACGAATATGAAATAAAGTAAATACAGAAACTACATTGGTGTATTAACCTCACCGACCAAACGAACACCAGGATTATGAATTGACCAATTAGGTACATCTGAATAGGAACAAAGCTACTCTTAAGCAAACCTGCAACCCCTCCCTCCCCCAAATACTAGTGGGGTAGCAAACTAAACATGCAAGCAAAGGTTCAAATGTATTGCATGGCTATTTTTTATACTTATACCATCTACAACATTCTTGCCTCTTCATCACTGAATAACAGCTTTTAAATCCATGCTGAGCTCTTGTTTAAAGTTAGCTAATATTTTTCATTTTTTCTATCTCAACCCCTGAGTTTTTACCAGACTTGAACAATACCTTTCAAGTTTATGTAAAGGATCCGTCTCCCCTTTAACATCCCTATAGCAACAATGCACACATACTCAGGGTAACTATGACACTCTTATCACTGAGAGCTTGGAATTCACCAAAGCTCTCTTAAGGTCAAAGTTATCATCACAGTTTTCTTATTTGTGCTTCTAGATCACTAACACCACCACCACCCCTTAAAAAAAAATACTCTGCAGAACATCTACTTACATTCAGATCCCCAAGAGAAGTTTCCAACATCCAAACGCAGAGCACGGTATTTTTTATTGCCACCACGAACTCTGACTGTGTGAATTCTTCTGGGGCCAATCTACAACAAAGTACCACGGGTTTGTTCAAACACAGCAATTCATGGAACTAAAATCTTGCCTCAAATGCCCATCCTACATGGCAACATGGTCAGTGTAACTATGACGATCCTAGCATTGGTGACTGTGATGAAGACCAGAACAGTCTACACGCTCACCTAAGGTGTACTTCTCATCACTCCAGTTGCCTCCACATCAGAGGAACAGTATCTCCAAACTAAAGCACTATGCAATTATCTCAACGTGACCAAAGTTAACTCTGGGTTGGAGTTTACTTCAAATCTTTTAAGGATTGCAATAATTTCAAATTAATTAGTGATATGGTGCCCCAGTAAGCATTCCACTACACATATGCAACACTTGGGTATATCTAAAGTAGCTCATATCTATTTCATACATCAACATCATTGCTAACTACATATAAAAATGGTACTGCAATTAAATTTAGAGGCACGCTAATAACAGCTTTTAAAAACATGTGTGCCTAACCCATACTATTGTTATATCAGAAAGTTTTGTTACAGGTAAGATATATCATGTAAAAAAAATCTCATTTATCCCTTACCTGAACATTATTTTGCAATTAGCTATCTGCTATGAATACAGTATTCTGGGTTAGTCAAGAACAAAGGACACTTGAATTAAAAGTTCCCATTTCTTCCTTCTGCCTACAAAGAGGTTTTCCCAGTTGGCCTACAGCAATCCCCATTATTCAGGAAACATGCACCCCTTAAAATACTTTACTCCTACCAATAGTAGTCTGAACTCTTCCCACACATTTCCCCTCTAAGCAATTCAGCGCACATACTTTTGTGTTGGCAGGAGGTCGCCCCAACTCATACTTTCGTTTCTTGTGGTAGGGCTTCCGCTTTCCACCGGTCTTGCGACGCTTGTGCCAATTATCCCTGGAGATTCCTGCGTAAAAGAGAAAAAAATCAAGCGGGATAGGAATGCATTAAGTGTGGTCATTGAAGTTGTCCCTCTACTACGGCTTGCAGGCGTCCTTCTGCCCAGTGTTACTCAGTTCTCCAAGGTAAGTCTCCGCATGGCACACTCGGCCTTAATGCAGCAGTGGAAAAAGTTTCATCATTGCAACGGCGGGCAAAGGGAGAAAACAAAAAGAAAAAAGGCGAGAAAACACTTTCGCTCCATGAAGGTCCTTTAAGAGGTGGCTATCCTGCGGCAACGCGCAGCAAAGGCCGAAGAGGCGTCCGGATCCCAAACAGGCCGAATCGCAATCGCTACACAAGACTAACCAGAATCTCACGCGCATTTCAACGGGCTAAACATCCTTCTCCCCGTTACCCGACCGGGAGCTCCGCGGGGATGTCTAGCGGGGCGGATGCGGGCGGATGAAACCACGACGTCCCTCTCCCTCTAACAACTCACCCATCCTGCTCCGAGGCGCCGATTGCAAAAAGAAGGACGCAAAGCATTTCGGGACGGTTTGTCCCACGGGAAATCTCGCGGCAAAAGACGCTCGTCTCAGCCGACGCGCAGCATCGCGTCATCAAAGTGGGACATGGAAACAGGTGGAAGGAGAGGTGGTTGGTGGACGTTCGTTAGCGTCCCGGCCTGGACGGTTTCTTTATGGTTTGCGTCAAAAGAAGCTAGTGAGGTGTACATGGCTCAACACAGGGACTGCCAGTTCTTTATGATTGTTAAAGTTGTTGCTTGGCAGGGATGTGGTGGTTTTTTTTTTTTTTTGAGAGGAAGGTCCTGCGGTTGCTGCTTGGAGCGGGAGGTTTTCCGTAACTATCTGATAATCTGTTTTTCTACGCTAGGGGTCTTCAAACTTGACAGCTTTAAAACTTGGGGACTTCAACTCCCAGAATTCCTCAGCAAGCAAAGCTGGCTGAGGAATTCTGGGAGTTGAAGTCCATAAATCTTAAAGTTGTCAAGGTTGGAGACCCCCGATATAGATGGTTAGGTAAACTAATAACAGTGTAAGAGCTACTACACTTGGACTGTTCCAAGTTTTTGGGCGATCGCCAATGGCGATAAATGGACTCAACTGTCGGCTATCAAAGGTACTTTTTCAGGAGGCAAATGGACGTTCTTGTTTTTTTCTTTGAAGACATTTCGCTTCTCATGCAAAAAGCTGCTTCAGCTCTGAACTGGATAGTGGAATGGAAGGATTTATATTCCTTGCAGACAGCTGGTCATTTGCATCCTTTTCAGAGGGTCGTTGAAGCACTTGGAAGGTTTATCTGTGTACTCAGAGTGACCTGAGTAGTGCTTCTGGCTTCAGTGGTCTGCAATTTTTTTCTCTGGAAATCCACTCCTACTTCCAACACCATTCCAAGGGTGTTCATCCCAAATTGTATAGCTAAAAGTCTGTAGATTTGTCATCCAGGTCATGGTCCCAAAGGTGCTTTGGGACAACCATGACCTGGATGACTGAGAATCTCTACAGATTCTCCGCTACCACAGGATTTTTATATCTGAGCTCGTCATTCGAAGCTCTAGCATCATGTCTTGAGAGTGAAATTTTATGTTTTCTTCTGCCATTTCACATTAGTGGAAGATCTATCTTGCCTCTCAAATTGCCTCTTAATCTAAAATGGCCATTTATAAACATTAATAAACAAGCCATTACTAGGGCATGTCATAGCGAGTACAAATGGTCGGTTTGCCTTTGTCCAATAGTGAAAAAGCTTAGGACTAGACCTGGGTAGAATTTTAGGTAGGAGACACCAGGTTATTGCAAAGCTGGGTCAATTTTTCTTGCAGAATATATTTGAACAGCCATTCTTTAAAACCTGTTCATCATTTGCCACGATTAAATCCATGGAAATTTAGCTTAGATCTCATGACTGGAGCCTGTCATAATACTGCATACAGAATGCATTTTGCTCTAGTTGAGCTGATATATATGCGGTATGATGCATGCTTTGTCTAGTCTGCCAATATTCCTGTGAAATGTATACATTTTACTGATTTTCTTCAACCATTTACTTAACTAGGAACATAATTGTTTAAATACAGATACAATTTATCACATGCTAAACCAATCATAAGCATTGCTTTTTACCATGTCCAGGATATAGAGGATTTTATTAATTACAATCCCCTGGTAATTTTCATCTCAGTATTCCCAAACGAAGAGCCACTTTATGGTGTATAGTGAAGTGTATAGTATTTCACCCACATTTAAGTACTTTTAATGTTTGAAAAAGGAAACTGTTGTGTTATTGTTTGTGAAATGTGTCAGATCATTTTTGTTTACAGTTGCTATAGAAAACCTTTTAAAATGTTTCTGGTCATTTAAAATATTCCTAGTCACGGATTCTTTTTCTCTCACATCAACATGTACTTTCAAATATTCAAAACAGGATTATTCTCTGCTTCAGTATCTTTTGTTTGGTGCTGTTCTTGATTCAAGCACTGCATCCATAGACAAGGGCATTTTGATATTCTGCTGAAACAAATTCCTCACAAAGATTCTAAAGTTATATTCTACATGTTTTATGTCACGGTAGTTTGTGCATTCCACTTGTTAAACTTTTTTCAACTTCAGGAATGTTTGGAGTGATATGACTAATTAGCAGCTTTTTATTTTGTAGTGCTTACTATGCAATCCTTGTGACATAGTCCATGGACACTTGAAAGAATACATGAATATAAATGCTTTTATTATGATCTCAGGATACAGAATTGTTTATTAATGCAGCACTGTCAACATTAAAAAAATTAGTCCAAAGACAATTACAGAAGAATGTATTCTTTCCAAACCCTGTGTCCCACTATAATTTTAACATGCAATTTGAAAGACTTGCATCACACAGATGCTTTTTGCCGAGCTAGCAAGGAGAGTGCTGCATGAAGTTGAGGTATATTGGTTTCTATTATGTACAGTAGTCAGGCTTTGTAGGTTGTTTGTCTTCCTTTAATTCTAATGAGTGCTAGCTTCGCAAATAATTTTTTGGGTGTCCTAAAACAATCAGTGAGCTCTAGTAAGTGTCTTGTTCCTTGACCATTAAGAATTTAATGGTTTGGATGCCAGCCATTGTATAACATGCTGTACTATATGGATATATGCCAGTACAGTTGGGGAGTTTTGGCAGACTAAAGTATGGATCTGCTCATAAAGATCTCTTCTGTGGGAATTTAATTATAGTCAACCTTGAATGATCTTCAAAACTAAGTTTTGTATTTGGGTAGTATTTGGATATAAAATTACCAGGAAATTCCAGGACTATAGCCTAGATTAAAAAGTTGAAAAAAAACATTCTGGAAGAAGACAAAAGCAATGGCTTCTATATTATTTCAAAAGAATTATACAAACTTGCCCTGAAAGTCATAGAAATCAAATTTCACTTGATGGAAAATCAATTTTTGAAATGTTCAAATACTAAAACTTAAAATATTAAGTTAGCAAATCTTGACAAAAGCAACACATGCACTATACTTCCATACTCTTTGTGTACTGTATCAGAAATTAATCACTGCCAAATTTATCAATTTTGTTATATACTTAATGTGAATATTTTCATTATCAATGAGAAATTCATATTTTATAGATATCCTTTTTTGATATAAACTTATCCTACTTATAGGGCTGGAGTGATTCAGAAACAAGATAAATCAGATCTCTGCTTTTGAAAAATTGCTGCTATCTTAAGACGGAAATATAAGAAAGTCTTATTTAAGAAATCTAAACTAGTAACTTGAGAAATGACAGACTCAGAATTGGCAAACTGATGCAAAATATTTATTCCAAGTTAGTTATCTTTTGATGCAGTAGTTTTCCCCTCATACAGACTCAATGTGATAGTCACTTTTTTAAATCTGTAAATAATGTTATCAAAATAATCTTAATCTTTGAAATCCCACAAAAATTTTATATTTTAACAATCCACCCTGAATATCAAGGTTGCAAGAACACAAACAATTCCTATATCCAAATATTTTACAGCTGTACCCCCCCCAAAAGAAAAACCAAACACGCCTGGTTAAGTGATGAAGCTCCCCGAGCCGCCAAAAAATAAAAAAAGTTCCATGTTATTAGCATTAATTTAACACAATTAGAACTTCCGTAGCCATTTTGTCATTGACAATGATTGTTTTAGCACATTATTGCCGCACAACATTTTGCAATGTGGACGGCAGTATGAGAAGCTTGTGGTTGCCCAACTTAAGTCTTTTGCATCCTGCTCCTGATGAGACTGAACCCATGCCTTGCTCCAGAAGGCGGAATGGATTGTTCTCTAATGAAGCACAGAAGGGCAAAATCAAAAAGTAGTAAGCCAATAGCTTTCTTCTTTGGGATATAATTCTTTCCCTTGTGCATGAAGTTTTCAACAATAAAAAACTGAACAGGCTTGAGATAGAATAAACTCTGCTTCATTCGAACCCCAAACATTTATGTGCTGAACTACAAACTGAGTTTGCTGGGTTGTTTTTATATAATGGATTTTTGGTGCCCAACTTCAGGCATCATCGTCAGAAGTTTCACTGCTACTTGTTTCTGTGTCTGACTCTTCAAACTCTGTCTTAAAAGTGCTTCTCCAGTGGGAGAATAGTTGACTGCTGCCTTGGCCTCGAAGAAATTCACTCTTCCGAAAACCATTTCTTCTTAGCTAGAGAGAAAGGAAAGAAAATTTTCATACTTGTTTCTCCTTTTCAGTCAAAATGAACTCAAAATTTATTAATTGCTGTCAGATGCACCAAAGCAAAATTATTTAATTTTGATCTCTTAGTTAATTGTAATCAATGTTCTCAGAGTTTTCGACACCGTAAGTTACAAAATAAAATAATGCTAAAAGGTAGGCAGTTGACCATACCTGCTCTGACTTTATTTGGAACTCTTTGAGCTCATCCTCTGTGAGGGGAAGGCAATTCTCATCATTCTCAGGATATTCCTGCCATCCCATTGCTTTCAGTAATCTGTGTTCTGCTTCTAAAGAATGAGAAAGATTCTCTTCCAAAGGCAAAGAAAGCCCATTCTGATGGCAGTTCTCCTCCCAGTTTTCCTTTGGTTCTGCTGTACTGCCACCATTCACCTAGAGAGGAACAAAATAAAAAAAAAAGATCAAAATCATACTCATGTAATTCTTTTAGCATTCATCAATGATATTTTAGAAAGTTATCTAAATTACATCCTCAAGTAGTATAGGCTTTATGATGAAGCTAATAACCCCCTCAAACTAACACTTAGAAACAACTGATTACCAAAAATGTTAATATCTGTTTAATTTAGAATATAATTGTATTAAGATTTTTGATTATAATAAAATCTAATACAAACTAAATTTAAACTATAGGAGTAAAAAGTGCAAGAAAAAAGAGAAACATAATATAATAAAAAGAAGCTCACAAGACACTTACAGCATCCCACAGTAATGAGCACCATTTGCAACTTCACTGCCAGCTTCTGGCAAGCAAAGTCAATGGGGAAGTCAGTGGGAGGTCACACATTGTGATCACATGATGTTGCACTTAGCCATGTGGCATTTCCTTAAATGACAGCAGTTCTGTTGCAACTGCTGCCTTAAATTGGTTGTAGTACACAATGTTTTACAATCACATCACTCAGCAATGGAATTATTTATTAGTCCCAATTACCATAATTAAATGAGGACAGTCTGAATGAGTTTATAACACAGGATCAAGAATAAAAAAATAGTAACAAACTCCACCATCACTATAATAACAGTGCAGTGTTCCCATGCATTAGTTCAACAGATGTTGCAAAAAATGCATGAAACCTTTAAAAAAATCAATATTTAGATCATTTTCTTCAAAAAGTATTATTCGTTCTGAAAGGTGAAAAGAAATTCCAATTATAAAAATTATAACAATTAAGTGTCTATGCTATATACTTTATTTCTAAGGTTAAGTATAATTTATTTTAATCTGTCCTCCAAAATATAAATTATACAACAATCACACAAACATGAGGACAAAAACATCACTCCTAATATCTTCAAAACTATCATTAATATTTGCTACACGTTTTTGTTTTCCATATTTTATACAAGACATCAGAAATCAGAATCATGATGCATATGCTACCCCTGTGATGGCACGCATGTCAGAGGTGGCACAAAGAGACCTCTCTGGGCATGCAAGCCATCGCCCCAGCTCAGCTCCGCTGCGCATGCATGTGAGCATCTCCCACTGGCCAGCTGGTCTTCGGGTCTCTGCCATGCATGCGCAGGGCACATACAGGGGAACTTGCATGTGCGGGGCAGGGCTCATGCACAAGTCACATGCGCATGCACAGGGTGCGCACATACGCGCTTTGGGCACTTGATGCCAAAAAGATTAGCCATTACTGTGCTAGCTGTTGCGGAAAGTAGCAAGTTTACTAAATAAGCATGTAAGAAATACCAGAAAATTATTTAAAAACAACTCTTGACATTATTTAAAAAAAAAGACATGGAACCCTCACATCCTCCAGTTTGCTGTTCTCATGGCGCTCTGGCAATTCTCCGTTCCTGTCATCCTTCAGAGCTTTTAAGAACTCGCTCTTCTTATCTGTGGTGCGGCGCATCAGCTTTGTCAAGCGAGAGGAGTTTATTTCAATAGGAGGGGTGGTACTGGAGGGACTCTGGGAATAGAGTAATAGCACTGTTAAATCTATTGTGATTCACTGATTTGATAGAGAGCGTTGAAATTGGTTAGTCCCTACTGATTCATATCATGTTTATATCCACTATACATGCTTACCTCTTTGGAAGAGGTGAGGACAGAGCCACTGGTTAACACAGCTGGTTTGGTTACAGACACAGGACTGGTAAAAGCTGAATCACGGCTGGAGGTTAGTGAGCTTGGTTTATGTTCACTTCTGTTAGCTTTCCATTGATTTGGCTATAATGAAGAAATGTACAGTAACAATAGCAATATATTTGCCCAAAACCAACACTGACTTAGTAAAAATATTGTCTTCTGAACATCTGCACGTATTTAAAATGCCTCTTTTGGGATTTGCCGTACATTTATCTGACATAACTATGTTCCAGATCCTAACAATAACACCTCCCAGAATATAAAATGATTTGGAAAAATAACAAACGATCCCAAATAAAGAAAAAACAGTGCTAGAAAATGAAAGTGAAGGAAAATGTTTTATTTATTATTTTTTCCCGTTAAATTTCTTATGGTCACACTTCAATAGACTCTTGCAATGAAAAACGTCGGTAAAACAGGACAGTTTAGATTTAAAAAAGCCACTCCCCAACCTAGTACATTTACCCCCGAGTCTCAACAAAGCCAGGTTTTAAGGGCTTTATGGAACCTGAGGAGAATGAGTTTGTCATCTGTATCTTTGAAGAGATGCTTCCTAGTGATTCTGAATCTGCCTGAATGTACTTGGCAGCCAGAAACAGTGGAAGAGAAGCAGTCCCTCAGATAGCCAGGCTTTATGCCATAAACAGCTTTAAAAACCATGAATTTGCACCAAGAAATCAAGTGGTAACCAATGCAGCTTTTCTGTGACATGAGCAGAGTGAGTAGTGGGCCTTATTGCTCATACCATTCCATTTTAAACCAGCTGTGGCTTCCAGACAATCTTTAAGGATAGCCCCATGTAGAACAGATTGCAAAAGTCAAATTGAGAGGCAAACAGGGCATGAGGGACTTTAAGGACTCTTAATTGAGAAAAAGGGCACACCTGGCGCACAAGATGAACCTGTACCAAAGTTTTCCAGGCCACAGCTGCTACCTGCTCTTTGAGCAGTAGTTGTTAGTGTAGGAATCCAAAGTTGTGCCAATGCCAAAATACAACCTCATTCAAGAGTAATAGTGAAAGTATCCCAACCAAGGGGGACCCAGACAGCCAAAGCCACTCAGTCTTGTCAGAATTGAATTGAAAGCTATTTCTGTGTACCTTTGATGGGGGTGCTGCAGGCTTAGGAACCAGATTTTTGTAGACACTTGGGACAATGGGGGTTGCCTTGTTGCCATTTGAAAGCTGAGGTCCTGGTGATGTGAATGCAGCTGAGAAGGCAGCAGCAGGATCCTCTTTTGAAACCTTTTTGATGACCAGCATCTTGGTAGGTTGCTTGGCACTAGGAGGATTTTCTAATAAAATAACATGGAAGAAGCTTAGTATTTCAACAAAAAAATGAGTTCATACCAGTCCATCTCTTGTACCTGCATAAGAATTTGGAAGCTGGAAATTAACAATATCTAAATGTTAAACAACATTTTTTTTAAAAGAAGTCCTATAAGAATATTTTTATGATCTTATAAGCCCAATTATAATGTTGAATGTGGAGTTATCAAAAATCTAGCAACTGCATAAGATTTTAGGATTTAAGATCTTCAGGAAAGCATTTTGGAATTGTTAAAGGGAATCTCAAGCACATTAAGCATGCTCAAGAGAGTAAGGTTTCGCAGTCCACTAGAAATATATACCCGAATAGTATTGAGCCTACTTCATTAAGAGTACATTTTTGGGAAGAGCTAAATGCAGTATTTCTTGGAATACTGGATTCCTGGTATACATACAATTAGCAAAAAATAATAATGGAGTGTCGGTTCACATTTTTGAGGCACTGTGACTTCTGAATGAATAAAAAAATCATGTAGCTATTCAAAGATACTAATGCAGCTCTCTCTTGTGCTATGTACCTGAAGAGTTTTATGTAAACATTTTGGACATCAGGGAAAAATCTTGATATTTTATGATCTTCTACATGAAAGTCTCAATAATGTCATTTTTGTAAAGGGCAGAATTGTATCTATTAAGTATGAAAAACTTTACATTGACCTTTTTTAAGTAACATGATTTTCTACAGTTTTCCTGCTATGGATGTCTTTGAATTCCCCAGTGTATGGGACTTATTTACACATCCAACATCAACTAAATAAGTATGCTATTTAAAAACAATTTTTACAACTTCTGGTGCTTAGGTTCTTCATGCATTTCTTGAGTGTGCATAAACGTCTGAGGTTTATGAATCAATACTAATACTAATGCCAGTTTGGGCGGGGGGGGGGGAGGAGAGGATGAGATGATGTACCCGTATCTAGTTTCTGAACAGTATTCTACCATTCCTAAAAATAGGCAAGCCTCTTACAATTTATTTCGGAAGTATAATTTCTAATTCTAATGTAACACAACATAGAGAAGAAAAAACTTAGTTATTTTTATAAATTGACTAAATAGAACAAGATTAGACTATTTCTACAACTACAGAAAGTACCTCTCTGCCAATGCCCCAGTACCTACCCCAAACACCAGATGGAGTTCCAGCTGGTTTACCCTGGCTGTGCTGTTTTCCAGCTTCTGGATTCAATGATGGCTGTAACAAGCACACCAAAAAGTCACACATATTTCATGTTTTGTTACAAAATTTTAATTTCATTAAATTTCCTAACTAGAAATGAGCATATGACCCATTATGTTATCTACCTATATTAACATTCTGACAATTTACCTACATAGAATCTAGTATTTGTTTTGTAATGCATTCTGACAGGAGAAAAGTGTTAACACATTAAAATCATAAGAAACAATTGGTGCGTAATTAGGTGAAGAAATCTTTGGCACATGAAGTCCCTCTTAAGACTGCAAAATTACTAATGCTGATTCCTATACTGCTAATGCAAGAAATGTATGGAAACTATAACATACTGTATAATATGAATGTATCATTTTTAAAAACATAAAGTCTCTCCATCTTTGCTGGAAAAATAAACGAAGTCCTGACCCCTCCTAGTATTATTTGGATAGCATGTTCTCCCTTGACATAAAGCTTTTAAACCTTATAATCTCAACATTCTTTTCCTTTCCTCAGCACCCCTACTTTGGGTACCCAAAATCACCCATATGGTTGCATTTTGTACCAGCTGAAGGTTCTGGATACTTCTCTAGGGTAGCCCAACCGTGTAGAGTGCACTGCAATAATCCAACTGGGAGATGACCAGTGCATGAGTGACTGAGTGGAGAGCCTCCCTATTGAGGAAGGGCATAACTGGACCATAACACAAAGTTAAGCAAAGGCCTTCCTAGCCATGGCTACTAACTGCTCTTTAAACAGGAGTCTTGAGTCCAGGAGGACCCTGCACAAGATCTGTCTGGTGCAACCCTATCCAAGATCAGATGATAAACTCATGGATACAAATGGTTATTTGAATCAATCTCCAGGAAAAAAAATACATTTAAGGAACATCTTAACTTCATGCTGAGTATACTTACAAAATCTTCCTCCTCAAACTGTAATTTCTCCTTTTCTTCCTTCTCCTCCCTAGCTTCAGCAGTTGGCTTTTCCTGAAAAGCTGAATTCTTTCGGGAGTGGAAATTGCCATTCCAATGGCGATGAGATCCAGTTCCTCCACCTCTCTGACTCATGCCATCATGGCCACGTGAAGAACCATGCCAACCTGGTTGACTGCCAGCTAGCCCAACATGAGTTCCTTTAGAAACACCAGAATCCACAGAATCATGGCGGTGCAGGGAAGGCTGATGCCAACAGTCTGGATAAGATATGAAGTTGCATTAACAAAGCTAGTTATCTTTTGAAAAAAATGCCACAATACACAAGACCTACTGCAAAAGATAAATAGATCAATATCATTATAGGAGCATCTCCTGTCTAATCAATTGATATTCAATCAAATCATTGACATTAGAGTATCAAACTACTGGAGTTCAAAACTGGAGGGTGGGAAGCCACAAAATGGTGGGGGAGGGGGTGAAGTTCCAGCCTATTTTTTCTCCCGTGCTATTTACTTATCCATGAGTAACATACCTCCAGCAGTTCTGAGGGGGCCATTATTAAAGAAACCATCAGAAGAGTTGTGCCGTCTTCGGCTTACACCAAACCGGCCTTCTCCTCGAGGAAGATGTTCTCCATGCTTTTCAAAAGTAGCTCCAGGAGCCTATGAATAAAGGGGAAACATGTAAAGACTACTCTGATCGTATTAACAGAATATACAGTCATGTATACATGAATTTTCAGAAGAGGCCAACAGGTCAACAGGAAATGTAAAACTAATCAAAGTCACACATAAGACACACAGAATAACTTTATGTATCAGACTTAAACAATATAATTTTGCATTCTTTCAAATATGTATCAGAATTCATTTGAAATATTTAACAAGTCACAGCAAGTCACTCTGTGAGGAGATCGGTGGTTCCAAAATGTGATAAATATAATAAATACATTAATAAGATATTTGTTACTACAGCACACTAGATTGGTAAGTCTCAATTTAGGACTTACATAAAAAATACATCTTCCAAAACAAATTACCATATTAAAAAACCCAAACATGGAGTTATTTTTATACAAATGCATATTTTTATTTCAAATGACATTACAAGATTAAATCAACTTAGTGTTAAATATATCTACTTTATTATAAAATAGAGCAGAAATCAATTTTGTTTCTTGTTTCAACAATGTACCTCTCTATTAATCAACTAAGCAATAGGACTGATGGAATATCAGCAACTTTCCAACAGTAGCTTTTCACTTTTAAGAGGCAGCAGGCATCAACACAATTTTTTATTAAAATTAAAGAAATAAGAAAAATGGACAAAATATCATGTGAGGAAATAAGATTATATTATTTTGAAAAAAAAAACACCACTCTATTCTAAAGGTCAGAATGTAATGCCATATTTTTCTATTAAGTTTCCATTTTAAACTAAATATGTGGTTTTACCAAAATATCCTGAGTATGTTGAAACACTGCATATATAGCCTACTTCAATTTTAAAGGGTTGGCACACCCCAAATTCCTTCAATTAAATAACGTCACCTAACAAGACCCCAGAAGCAAGCCTTTTCTCTAGCAGCGCCTACCCACTAGAATAAAGTTTGTCCCTAGAGCCAAAGGGCCCCCCACTCTGAATGGTGAAGACCTTGCTCTTCACCAGGGCTTTCGATAGTGACCTGATCTTGTGTAGTTTCATTTCATCTGGTCTGTTGTTCTTGCTATCTTTTACTGATGTTACTGCAATGTTACCTGTTGTGAGCCACTTTTGATAGTATAGAAGTTTAATATAATAATTATAAATTGGAGCCAACTGGAAACAAATGTTTGAAAGTTGGAAAATAATTTATCCATATTCAATTATCAATGAACAATGATTAGCTCACACACAAAAAACACCCCAGAATAATAGAATAACAGAAGAAGCTCACAATAACAATTGGAAATATAAATGAAACAACTAATATGAATTACACAAATGATAACTTAGAAGAAATAACAACAGAACCAGTACAGGCTAATACTGAAACTGACCCACCAACAAGAATTAAAAGAGAAGATTATGCAAAATTACCAGTAGACAGATATTGCCAGCACTGGAAGTTAGTGGCCAAAAAGATCTGGCACCTTGGAAGGAGTGAATAATGTGCTTGCACAGATTAAAATAACATCTATCAAACAAACGATCAGCTTGCCTATATTAAAGTACAGTAGTGGTGGTGACAGAAGAACTGGATATTGAAATTAGAGAACCAAAAGCAAAATCCTATTCAAACCCGTAGCAGAAGATCAAACAGGAGACCAAGATAAAGAAATTTTAGGAGGAGCCCTCCTATTCTACGACCAATTACAATACAGGTAGTCCTCAACTTCCGACCACAATTGAGCCCAAAGTTTATGTTAAGTGAGAAATTTGTTAAGTGAATTTGCCCCATTTTATGACTTTTCTCACCACATTTGTTAAGTGAATCACTGGAGTTCTTAAATTAGTAACATGGTTGTTCAGTGGTTTCCCCATTGATTTTGATTGTCAGAAAGTCGCAATAGGGAATCATATAACTCTGGGATATTGCAACCGTCATAAATGTGAGTCTGTTGTCAAGCATCCAAATGTAAATCACCTGACCGTAGGGATGCTGCAATAAGTATGAAAAATGGTAATAAGTCACTTTTTTCGGCGCCATTGTAACTTTGAATGGTCATTAAATGAACTGTTGTAAGTCGAGGACTCCCTGTACTAGGCAACACAGTGTCAACAGTAGAGACCCTCAAGTCTTTCAAGACTTGAAGTGGACACCTAACATTAGAACACAACGAAGAATGTTCTTTCTGCGCCAATTCAAAGAGCTCAGTCTGCCCAAGGAGCTGCTGATACAGTTTACAGGGGAATTACTGAGTCTGTACTTCTATAACTGGTTTGGTACAGCAACTAAACAGTTCAGGTACAGACTTCAAGGGATAGTTAGCATTGCAGAAAAAACAATTGCAACTGGTCTGCCTTCCATCGACGACCTGTATATTGCACAAGCTAGAAAGAGAGCTGAGAAAATATCTACAGACCCCTCGCATCCTGGGCACAAACTGTTTCAACTTCTCCCCTTAGGACACCAGTATAGTATAGAGCAGTGGTTGCCAACCAGTGGGGCGTGGCCCTCTGGTGGGCCATGAGAAAATTTTGGTGGGCCGCAGAGAAATCTCATCCCCAGAGCACCCCCACAAAGCAATTAATCCAGGCTGCTCAGAAACAAAGCTGCGCTGCCCACATGGCCCATGGGAACCCTCCCCGGCCACTCACTCCTTATTCGGTAAACTTGCTTGCTAAATTGTTATTTTTCCTTTTTCTGACCATCATCTGTTCTGCTGTGCCGGGAGATTTAGATTAGCTAGGAAGCAGGAAATGGTTGGATTTCATGCTTTCTAGCTAGTCTTTAGATCTTTGGCTTAGCACAGCCGAACCTCGCTTAGGACTGAAGGTTTGCTTGCAAGCAAATTCAGTGCAGATTCACGGCAAGCAAATTTGAGAGACCGAGCTAGCCGATGGCAAATAAGATAGATCACTAAATGATTCTGTGAGCAACTCAATCTGCCCTGCTTTGCCTGATTTTGGGTAAAAGTTGCTCTTTTTTATAAAGAAAATCAATATTTACATGCATGGTGTGTTGTGAGTTGATTTTGTGAGTTTGCTTGCTAGCAAATTTTTTATGACAGACTGAGCTAGCCAATGGCAGATAGATAGATTTCTGAATGAATCTGTGATTCTGTGAGCAACTCAATCTGCCTGCCTGCTTTGCCTGATTTTGGGTAAAAGTTGCTCTTTTTTTATTAAAAAAAAATCAATATTTATGTAAATATTTATAATATTTACATACAAGCCATGCCTAGCCAGTCACATGAACACCAAGCCACACCCACAAATTAGGCCACACCCACAGAACCGGTTAGTGGTCCTTGGGATCGAAAATTATGAGTTTGGTGGTCCCCGAAGTCCAAAAGGTTGGCGACCCCTGGTATACTGCATTGCCAAAACAACTAGACACAAAAACAGCCTGTTCCCCCTGTCCAGCCATCACTCTGCTAAACACATTATTTCCACAGCACTGTCTTATGCCCAAGGATATCTAACCATGTAGTAGGACTGTATTACTATTATTCTTCTCATCTTTCCTGTTACCTACTCCTATTGGTATCTTATGACTATCACTTTGTTGGTTGTATCTTATGGTTTATGATTTATCACTTTGTTGCTTGTATGTATACTGATAACTTATGCACTGGAGACAAATTCCTTGTGTGTCCAATCACACCTGGCCAATAAAGAACACTTAATTAAGATCAGATGCAAGTAATTAAAAAAAACACACAAAGGAGAAAACTTGAAGAATGCAAGAATCAGAACAAGCCTAATTTTAAAAAAATGGCTTAGTTCCAGACAATTAAAAAAGCTCTGGAAACCACAATGCAACAAATAAAAGCAACAGATGAGGAAACTGAACATCTATAACACTTATCATGTGCCAGTAATGAAAAATTAGCAGAAATATAATTCAAAAAGTAGTCAAAAATGAGGTTAAAATATTGTGGGATTTTCAAATACAAACTGATAAAATCTTTAGCCATAACACACCAGATTTAACTGTGGCTGAAAACAAGAAAATGTGGTAACTGATGTAGCAATACCAGGAAATAGTAGAAGACAAAGAATTGGAGAAGACCACAAAGTATCTGAAAATCAAAACTGAAAGATTATGGCATAAACTGGCTATGGTGGTTACCATTTGTTATTGACACATTGGGAGCCATATAAAAATATTTTAGATGGCACTTAAAAATATGGACATTGACAACATTTCTACTTATTTGGATATGCACATTATGCTAATAAAGTACAATATTCTAAATTCTTGGGAAGAACTCACAGCTGTGATTTCACATTTTTGTTGATATAACAATTACTATTATTATTATCAACACTGAGATGCAGTCTACAGTATGTTGGGTTTTCAGTATTATAGTCCCTGGATTAAAGGCATCAGATTGCAAAGAACAGCACACCATTAGAGTTTATATGGCATTTGGTTGCACTTGTAACCAAAATGTTCAGAGATTCTCTTTAACAGGGAATGCTACATATGGCATGGATATAATTAACAATAGCAATATAGTCTATGCTTTATCTTACCCAACAATATTAACAGAAAGCTCCAATTGGCCAAAATTATGATGAGCTGGGAAGGTCAGTATCAGTGGTCATAGTTTATGATCACTTACTCAGCAACCCTTGAAATTTGTGATGATGCTGAATGAGGGAGACCTAGAACCAGTCCTTGAAGGCGAGGCTGCTGCAATAGTCTCATGGTCACATTAACACAATTTCTGAGATTCCCTATCAGCTTTCCCCAACAAAGTTAAGGGAGAAGCTGACAGGAAGTTATAAGTTGCAGTCATGTGGGGTTCTCATTTAACAACAGCAACTAGGATGGCTTAAATTGCCATCATTAAACTATATGGTCATGTGACATTATTACAGGTAGTCCTCGACTTATGACCACAATTGAACCCCAAAATTTCTGTTGTTAAGTGAGACATTTGTTCAATGAATTTTTCCCATTTTGTGACATTTTTTTGTGCGGTTGTATCTTTTTTCAATATTGTTGTAACTTTGAACAATTGCTAAATGAACTGTTGTAAGTCAAAGACTACTTGTATTATTTATAACCCTATCACTTAGCCACAGCAACTCGTCCCAATCGCCATTGTAAATAAAGGTCTACAGTACTTGTGTGTGTGTGTGTATGTGTGTATACATATATACTTACCAAGATATATATATCTTATATGAATGCAATATATATAAATAATAGTAATCTGATTTTGTGGAGCTAATGAATATATGTATGAAGATGAAGAGACAGGTTGTGTCTCTTCATTATGAATTAAAAATCCATATCACAAAAAACCTGTTACAAATTAATAAACTGAAATAATTATATATATGCTCCAGTAAAAAAATATATCCAAGAATCAGATGAGTTTGGGGAAACTGCCGCTATCCCTGTCCAATGTGGCATATCTGATCAACATGCTTCTGGCCTATCTCAGTGACATAACCCAGTAGCCTATATTCTTCATATATTCCCTACCCCTTTTCTCTTCTGAACTTCTAATGCTTTGTTCCACAACCACTACTTCAGCCTAAATCAAGCAGCTCCATTTCAATCCTTCTGCTGGGTTAAAACAGCAAACTCCAGAAGTTCCATGCGTGAAGCATTTTGCGTATTTCTTGCTGAGTTAATGGTTAGGGTTAGGTTCTGTTATACTGCATAATAAATGGGATTTAAAAATCTTACTCTCTTTTCTATAATGTTTCTCTAATGCTAATTTAGAAATTAACCTACTATGTCCCTTAAGAACTAAAAACTTCTGCCAAGTTACTCAGAATTGGACTAAATATTCTTTATAAGGATGAAAGAAGCAATCGCCATGACTACAGGTATAACTTGTCTTATAACCATTTGTTTAAAGACAGTTTGACGTTACGTCTTGGAAAAAATGACTTTTGAGCCAGCTGAAGTTAAAGCTCTTACGCTACCCCTGAAAGCATGTAATCACAATTTGGGCACTTCACAACTGGCTTGCGTTTGTAATGGTTGCAACATCTTGCAATCTTCCCAGCTGGCTTCCAACAAGCCAAAGTCAGTTGAAGACAACAAATTAGTATGCTTCATTTAACTACCATATGATTCATTTAATAACTTTGGTGATTCACTTAATGACCACTGTAAAAATGGTTATAAAATCGGGTCCAATCATGTGATGATTCTCTTAATGATTCCATCACTTAGTGATCAAAATTCCAATCTCATTTGTAGTCATACAGTGAAGACTACCTGTCATTTATTTGAATTAAAAATATGGTCAAAATTAACTGTACTTGTTTTTAATACAGGCAGATTAGATTGTTCTATTGAAAAAAAACAAGCAAACCATAATACCCAATACATTTTACATCTTTATCTTGGATCAGATTAGCTTACATAATGGTACATAACACATAGTGGGATTCTGTATAAAATTAATGGCATAAGAGAAAGTCTGATTATACATTGTAAAGAGAATCATATTTGAGGATACATTAGCTCGAGCAATGGCTGATTGCAGCAAGGAAGTTTTATAATATTAAATGAAAGGTTCAGAGTTATCACTAGCAATGCTTACTGTGAAACTGACAGCTGACACTAGATTGTAATGGGATACACACAATGGTTGGTTTGAGAACTAAATCGCCCTGCAACACTTATTGCATTTCCCCTACAATTCCTGGATAGATATAATTAGATGTCTGCCACTGGGTTAACCTAAACAAGGTAAGGTCCTTATTCCAGGTGGTTGACCTATGAGTAAGGAATATGTAAAGGCACATTTTTTCCAGAATACACACCATTGGTTTATTAAGAGTTCTAAGTCCTTATTTTATGTAGCAAAGCTAGAAAAGAAGTTGAAAAGAAAAAGGGCAAAAAAATAAAATTTTGTTTTCAAGAATCAGCCGCTTCCTATATTCAGGATCTACCATTCTTCAAACTAAATTCATACCCCATATCTTAGGTCCTAAAATGAAACAGAACCTATACAGCAACTAGCATTATTGAGTCTAGCTTCCTGATCAAATTCACTAGATACCAGCATGGTTGTCTTGGCCCATACCTAGTTTATAGCCAACTTCAGTCAGAAAAATACCAAGATACCAAAACAAAAATTCAGACACTCTACCCTCCTGTAAAAGCACACTTGACTGAAGAAACATATGCTTCTAGAATTTTCTCAGTCTTCTGTTTTCTCTGCCTATTACTTGGACTAGGATATTGGCTGCTTTGCTTCAATTCTTTCAATATCCAAACTTCTTAAAATGGAAATAGTTCATAATCACTGTAACAATCATTGCAAATGTTTGTTACAGTTGTGCTTGATAAAGTTGTGGAGCAATCACAGGTTTCTACCTGATGGTTTTAACATAAACAACAAAGAATGTTCTTCTGTAACTGATCTTTACTGTTCAGTTAACTTATTCTCAAAACAAAATCTACAAAGTCAAAGACCAAACTATTTTGCCCATCATACCGTTATAAAACAAAACAAAACCTCTAGTCCCAGTGATTGACCCAGATTGGATCCTGCAGCTATAAAACACTAAAAGATACTGATTTAATAGAAGAAGAAAAAAAGAGAAGTAAAATCTAAAGAAATACAAGAAGAAAAAGCTCAGCAATGACCAAGAGAAACAGTCAATACACACTACTCCTAATGCAGCGAATGGAGCACATGGCAGTACACATGATAAAAGTATGCGGAATACAGGATAAGGTCCCTACAAATTTTTTTTTCAATGTTAGGATGTTCTGAAATAATGCCCTGCACAGGCACAAATCTTTGGATGTAATACCTAAACCACAAATATATTTTGATTAAGCATTTAAGAAAAGTTTTAAGACCAATTTCCTTCAAATTTATAACTATTCAGCATAATAGGGAGAAAGTTCAGAAATGTGAAAATAAATGCCATTTATGCATTTCACAATCAAAATGACAATTTAACTATAACTTTGTCTGAGCAATTGATCTAAGTTTAATCATTACCTTGGCAGACTGTGGCGTAGAGAAGTTAAGCCAGGCAGGAACAAAGTCATGCTGCGCCATTTAGGTCCAGTGTCTCTCTTCAATGAAGTGAGGCATCAAACCTCATGGCCAGGAGCTAAGACAAGAGAAACACCACATACACTGTCATCCCAGTGCAATGGAAAAGAGCAGATTCTTCTAAGCATGCTTCCAAGAGTCTGGAAAACATCTTACCATCTTTCTAGGGACTAATGGAAATTTATTTAATTTGACTAAGCATTAGGTTGAGTTACTGTAGCTATATTGCTCCTGTTTAACTCCCTTAAGCCACTTCAGCCAAAATCATCAGAGGCCAGGTTCTACCATCATCACTACTGGAGCTAAATAAAACTGAGGAAGAATTAATGTACATTTCCTCTCTGAAATAATATTTCATTAGCAGGGTTTTCTCTTCAAATTATTTTGATGTCTGCTTATCTAGAAATAGTTCACTGACTTACTTATAATGGACAAATTAAAAACTTTTCTTTATATAAAGTATTAACCATAACATACTATTTTTAACTATAAATAGAGTCCTACAGTGACTTACCCAGATTGGCCTTTGCAGTCCACTCTCACTTGAATACTTTGATTTCCAGATTCCTTCCTTCGCCAGGGTGCACCTATGCCAGCTGTGTGGCAATGGTGAGTCCCAAAGGAAGCACGAGAAGCCGCACTTCGTGCTGACTGCACCCCTTAACCCTCTAGCTGCTCATCTTAAATGCTCTCTGAACTCATATGAGAAAAAAAAAACCTAAAATGCAGTGTGCATTTTTGGAAAACTACAACTACATTCACCTCATTAAACTGTTCCCTGTTGTCACAATGCTGTGTAATTCAGCTATTACATTACAAAAGTAGTTGTCAAATTTGTACAGCATTCAGAAAAGCATGGTAATTAACGGTGAATTTCACAAATCCACTTTGTTCATCTTCTGCAACAAATAAACTTGAAACAAAGGGACGGGGAGAAGATGCTGAGGAGTCTTGCAAATTCTCGTATAGTAACTCTTTGTTCTTATTATTTGCTAAAATGCAGGATTCATTTTTAATGGTTGCTAAAATTAAGTTTTCTTAAAAACACTATTTTGAAAGGCTTTTCACATAGTCACTTAAGTTTCCTTGGTAAGGAACTAAAAGCAACTTAAAGATACAAGATTCAATTATTACTGTCTTCCTACCGTTTCTAGTTATGCATTCAGTTAACCTAAAAGCAAAGGACCAAACTGGCAAGCTATCCTTCTACCGTATTTGAATTGCTGCTTTTAAAAATAGAGAAAAAAATGGCTGTATTTTAATCAAGAGTTCCCATTTGGGCAATGGTCTTCTTCCATCAAAATGAGTAGAATTCACGAAGTACTCTGTAAAGAAGGAAAAAATAATACCACCTATCAGTAATCATAAAAGTGGCCAAAAGGATTATCAAAGATACATTACTTAGGACCCCTATTTCTAATGAAACAAGTGTAGTATTTATGGTCAGATTCTCATTTTGGTGAATTAATGGAAAGTCCTTATATTACTTTTCTGCTTTGATTTTATTATTATGCTTAGATAAAATAAATGTCTATGGAGATTCTTAGTCATCCAGGTCATAGTCGTCCCAAAGGGGCTTTTTCAAGAGACAATTGGACTTTCTGGTTTTTCTTTGAAGAAGTTTCGCTTCTTCAGCTGACTGGATGGTGGAGGATGGGAGGATTTATACTCCTTGAATATAAATCCTTCCATTCCCCACCATCCAGTCAGAGCTGAAGAAGTTTTGTGGATGAAATGTTGGAGCAATGGTTTCTTAACTACAGTACTATGAATTAAAAGCTTAAGTTTTAATTTAATGTAATATACTATCATCTGAAAGTAATGCAAATCTTCCAAAGCAACTTCATATATTACAATAAATTAGTATTCATAATACACTGAAGTGTATACAAAATTTTAGATGCACACTTCAGTTTTTATAATTATTAATTCTATTTTGTCAAATCTCCACAACAGTCAGCTTGTGACACAGCCAGGGGAAAAATTATCACTGATTAAACTACAATTCAGTTATCTAAAACAGGGTTAGGTAAAGGTAATCCATTAGAAAATCTATTGAGTTGCACTACAGCAGCAAACATTTCTGATTTAAAAGTTTACAAAATGATCCCTATAAAAATTATACCAATGAAATCGATAGATTAAAGCTATTAAAATCAAGTTCTGTTTGAAAAATCAGTGAACTCTATTCAAGTCCAAAGAAAATCCGAAGCTCAGAATTCTAAGCATTTTACACAAAATTCTATTTACTTTATCTTGATGTATACATACAAATATACAAAGTGAAACCTGCAAACCAGTATCAAGTTGCAAAGTGCTTTTTCTTCTGAAATTTTGAATACTGTGTTTCCCCAAAAAAGGGCATTGGTACTTACCTGACACACCCGTTCTCTTTGAGCTGTGAAGAGCATCCAGTAGTGGGAGGTGCTTCAGTCTCTTCATGTATAGGCTGGGCTTATTTTGTGGAACACTCCTCCTCCTCCACGGGACTCCTCCTCAGGATCCCCCCGTTTTGGTGAAGACGAGGAATGACCACCCTCGCCCCGTATGCCCTAACAATTCGTTGGCCGAAACAGGACCCCACTAGACAGAAATTTGGTGGGGCTGGATGCTCTTCACAGGTCAAAGAGAACGGGTGTGTCAGGTAAGTACCAATGCCCTTTCTCCCATGAGCTGTTCAGAGCATCCAGTAGTGGGACATACCAAAGCTTGGCTTGTCCTACAGGAGGGTCTCCACCTGGCTTGGAAACCCTTCTTGGTCCCTATGGACCCGCTGCAGAAATCTCCTGCCAAAGGAAGCCTCAGTGGAGGCAAATACATCTATTTTGTAATGCCTAATGAAGGGCGATAGAGAGGCCCAAGATGCTGCTTGACAATTTTCAGTTATTGGCGCTTGCGTGGCCCACGCTGCTGATGTTGCTGTATTCCTGGTTGAATGCTTTATGCCTTGGACACCTGTAATGATTGAGTCTGGTACGTTTTAGCTATTGCAGCCCTTAGACATTGGCCTACTGTGGAAGATGAGACTTTGCAGCCTTGGGTGTTTGGCTGGAATGACACGAAGAAATTCCGTCTTTCTGAAAGGTGCTGTGCGGTGAATATATATTTGTAATGCCCACCTCACATCAAGCCGAAGCCATTGTAGCTCCAATCCTTGATTTGGCCTTGGACAAAAATTAGGAAGTATTAGTTCTTGTGCCCCGTGAAAAACCGAATTTTCGGTATGAACGTGGGGCCTGGACAAAGGACCACTCTGAATGAAAAACACAAATATCTTGCCTGATTGACAAGGCTGCCAGTTCCGAAATACGACGAGTGGGTGTTATCGCTACTAGAAAAACTACTTTGTACATCAGTGTGGGGCTCCTTGAACAGGCAATCTCTGTTGATGACTGGCCTGGTCCACCAGTGGAGAGATTTGAGGACTTTTGACGGTACCATGACCTTGTATTTGGGAGTTGCTTCTTCCTGATCACTGGTACGGAAGCAGGAACCACTGGGGGGATCTAGTGTGGAGTCGGGCCCAGGGAATAATAGATATGCATGACATCATTTTGCCTAACAATTTTGATAGGTCAGCCAAGGGCACCCTCTTGTGTGTTCTGATTTCAGAAACTAATTGTTGTGTGCTGTTTTGTCTGTCCAGTGACAGGAAAACCTTACCTTCCACAGTGTCAATGATTGCCCCCAAGTGGACCAATTGAGTCAATGGACTTCTTGTCCAATTAATTGAGAAGCTCTGTTGTTCTAGTGTCTGTAACATGATTTGAGTGTCCCTAATTGCTTGATGAATGGAAGATGACAAAATTAATATGTCATCCAGGTAGCACTGGAGTCGTACGGGAATGCCTCTGAGATGGGCAGCCACTAGCGGACGCTAGTCCAAAAGGAAGGGCAACATATTCAAAATGGTGGTTTTTATAACAGAACCATAGAAATTTACTGTGGGATGGTCTAATTGAAATATGTAAATATGCTTCTGTCAAATCTATTGATGTAAGGACGTCACCCCCTCTGATGCCAAGTAAAATAGATTGTAAGGTGTTCATTTTAAACTTGTGATATACTAAGAAGTGGTTGTTTTAAGTGTAAAATTGCTCTCCACACACACACACACACCGAACTCTTCGGAACAACAAAAAGGTGTGAATAGAAACCTCGCCCTCGTTGGTTGGTAGCTACTGGTTGAATGGCTCATATTTCCAGTAGGTGTTGGATAGCTGTTTCCATAAGAGTCCATTTAGCTGGATCTCTAGAAAGAGGGCACGACATGAAGAAGTCTGGAGGAGTGGATTGGAACTCTAGAGCTAGGCCCAATCTGATTGTGTTTCTGATCCAGGTATCAGATGTTGAAGAGTCCCATTGGTCCGTGAACAATTTAAGGCATCCACCAGTGGGAGAAGAATCAATGGTTTTATTTTGTGCAAAGGGATGACCGATTTCCTGCCCCTTGAAAGGATCTCTTGGCTTGGCCACCCCTTCTATTTCTGTTCCTGAAGTCGGGCCTCTCTAACTGTTGTCTTGGCCTGAAATTAAGAGGGTCTCTGATATCTTGCTGAATATGGTCCTTGATAGAAGGGACGAAAGGACCCCCTCCAAAAGGACTGAGTATTTCTGGTATCTGACTTTCGAAAAAGAGAAGGGAGTATCCGCTTATTTCTGGTCTCAATTAGAAACGGGTAAAGAGCAGAGCCAAATAATCTGTCCCCTGAAATGGGAGATGAGGCAACCTTGTACTTATGTTTAATGTTGGCTTGCCAATCATAGCAAGCGCTGAACTGTAATCTGGGATGCTATGACCCTAGATTAAAATTTAACCGCATGGAATGTAGCGTCAGCAGAAAATTCTGTGGCTGCGATAAATTTGGCAATGTCTTGATGCGCTCTAATATTAGAGTTAGGAATGTGTTCCCTTAGGTGACGGAGCCATCTAAGTGAGGATCAAATAAAAAAGGATGCGGCCATGGTCACTTTTATGGCCCATGCGTCAGACTGATAGGCCCTGTGTAGAGCCAACTTGGCCCACTTGTCCTCCGGCTTTAACGCCTCCACCGCTTCACTGGGGATGGAAGATGAGGATGCTAAACCTACTGATTTCTCAGTTCGTCTACCTCTGGAGTGTTCAGTAATTTAGAGAAATCGGGAGCCAAACTGAAATATTTTCTGTCGTATCCCGTGGGGGCGGGGTGCACCGCTGTAGATGCCCACTGCTTCTGCACCAGATCCGAAAACATGCGAGGGACTAGAATTACGCCTGCCTTGACTACAGGCTGGGTGAAAATGAAATCCCCTGATTCCTCTTGTGAAGGAGTTGGTGTGGTCAAAGGAGCTGACTTGTCCAGGCGTGCAGTGTTTTTGGCCCGTTATTCAATGCTATTCTGTATAGGCGGTTGGCACACCCAGGGGCCTGATCCAAAGATGGACAGGGTGCCCTGATAATAGAATCCTCCCCCTTTTTTTAATAATACGAGTCGTATCTCAATAATTTATTATTAATGTTATCAGTATTATTTCTTCTTCTCCTTCTTCTTCTTCTTCCTCTTCTTCTTCTTTCTCCTCCTCCTCTTCTTCTCATTATTATCTCTTCTATATATATATTTCTGTATATCTATCTATCTATCTATCTATCTATCTATCTATCTATCTATCTATTGTCAATAGAACAGGTAAATTATTGAATGTCCAAATCAGCCAAATTAAGAATGCCTAACAAGCCAGAATAAGAAATGAAAATGAAAATTACTGGCCTTCAACAGCTGCCATGCACAGGCGGACACTGGCCTTGGTGTTTGCTGTTGTGCCGCTGGATAGTTAGGGCTGTGAGGGTTAGCCAACTAATTATTAGACCGATGGCCTCAAATATAAAGACAAAAACGAGGGCGCAAATTTTTCTGGGTTCCTAAAAGAGAAACCTCTATTTGGTTTAATTGCCTCACACAGCCTGGTAATGATTTGTACTCAGCGCTGCCATGCGGTCTGCAGTACCACAATGGTGCCCGGTCGTTAACTTTTTTGGCGCACGTGGTAATTCCAGCAGCAATCTCCTGCCATGTGAGGGATCTGTCTCAGACGGCTTCTCTCCTTACACCAAAAGCGGTGGGGAAGGGTGAAAACAGGCGCTCATGCCCCCCCACCCCATGCAGCATTCTGAAAGGGGAAGGTGATATGACTCGTTAGAACGGAAAAAACCTCCCCGGCGCTGTTGGGAGCAAAGAAACCGCTGCGACCGTAGCGGCGCAGCTATCGCTATGGCAAGGGTTATAAATTAGCGGCTGGGGGAAGCGTGGTTCAAAGCCAAAGCCTCCAACCACCCCTGGGGCATTGA